TTTAGCCTTAAGCCTGGTAGGTCCTATCTCACTTGTCACTTCGAAGGTATCAGGCTGTACCTGCCTGCCAGTCAGTTTCATATATTCAGTTTCTGAATAGTCCTGGAACTGCACAAAGCCTTCAGGTTTCAACATTTCACCCATCCAATAGGATATTCTACTGGGCCAATTAAAATTTGCAGTATAAATTCTTTCCTCATAGTTTAACTTTTAGCATCTTACGGAGTCTGTGAGAACTCTACCTCATTTGCCAACACATTCTAATTACTCTTTACTTCACTGAATTATTTTTTTTTTTAAAGAGAGGGGGTTTCACCATGTTGTTGAGACTGGTTGCAAACTCCTGACCTCATGATCCGCCCACCTTGGCCTCCCAAAGTGCTGGGATTACAGGTGTGAGCCACCGTGCCTGGCCACTGAATGATTTTTAATTAATGGAGCATGCTTAGATTCTGGTTATATTTAAATATAACTCAAGGCTGGCTGTGGCTTGTGCCTATAATCCCACCTACTCAGGAGGTGAAGGCAGGAGGATCACATGAGCCAAAGAGTTTGAGGTTGCAGGGTCTGGCCACTGTAGTCCAGCCTGGGTGACAGAGTGAGACTTGACTCTCAAATATATATTTGCTGGGTGCAGAGGCTCACACCTGTAATCCCGGCAGTTTGGGAGGCCGAGGTGGGTGTATTACCTGAGGTCAGGAGTTCAAGACCACCCTGGTCAACATGGTGAAACCCTGTCTCTACTAAAAATACAAAAATTAGCCAGGCATGGTGGCAGGGCACCTGTAATCCCAGTTACTGGGGGAACTGAGGCAGGAGAATTGCTTGAATGCAGGAGGCAGAGGTTGCAGTGAGCCTAGATCGCGCCATTATACTCCAGCCTGGGCCACAAGAGTGAGACTCTCTTTCAAAAAAAAGTATATATACATATGTACACACACACACACACACAAATACACAAATATACACACACATATATATATACATATATACACATACATATAACATGTTTATAATATAAAATGTTATAAAATATATTTATAGATATATTTTTGCATTAATAGTTCAGTTAATAGTTTTATAATGTAAAATACATTTATAAATATATACAGATAACATATACTTTAGAGTCGAGTCTCACTCTGTTTTATATACAGATATTGTTTTCTTCTTTTTTTTTTTTTTATAAAACAGGGTTTCATTGTGTTGGCCAGGCTGGTCTTGAACTCCTGACCTCAGGTGATCCGCCTGCCTCAGCCTCCCAAAGTGCTGAGATTACAGGCATGAGCCACCATGCCTGGCCTCATGTACGTATAAAACAAATTTTGAAAGGCGGTTTTGCGCCAAAACTAGTCAAAGCAGTGTGAGTGACCCAGCTAAAATCAAGAACTATTTATAGTACGTAGTAAATGTGTAATGAAAATTTAGAATAGAGAGAAGGTAATAGAAAGATACTGCTTCTCTATTAAATATTTAGGTGAAACCAACCTGAGGTTAGAATCTGACCCTGGCAGTTTCTGAAGACCTGATTCATGTGTCTCCGTGCAACAAGGCATCTAAGTTTTTTTTTTTTTTTTTCCTCCTTTTAAGACGCAGTCTTGCTCTTGTTGCCCAGGCTGGAGTGGAGTGGCGCAATCTCAACCCACTGCAACCTTCACCTCCCGGGTAGAAGTGATTCTTCTGCCTAGCTGGGACCACAGCTGCCTGCCACCACACCCAGCTAATTTTTTGTATTTTTATTAGAGAGAGTGTTTCATCGTGTTAGCCAGGATAGTCTCAATCTCTTGACCTTGTGATCTACCCACCTGAGCCTCCCAAAGTGCTGGGATTACAGGTGTGAGCCACTGCTCCTGGCCAGATTTTTTTTTTTTTTGAGACGGGGTTTTGCTGTTGTTACCCAGACTGGAGTGCAATGGCACGATCTCGGCTCACTGCAACCTCCGCCTTCTGGGTGCAAGCAATTCTCCTGCCTCAGCCTCCCGAGTAGCTGGGACTACAGGCACGCACCACCGTGCCCAGCTAATTTTTGTATTTTTAGTAGAGACGGGGTTTCACCTTGTTAACCAGGATGGTCTCGATCTCTTGACCTCGTGATCCACCTGCCTTGGCCTCCCAAAGTGCTGGGATTATAGGTGTGAGCCACCGTGCCTGGCTGGATTTTTTTTTTTTTAAGAGATAGGATCTTGCTCTATCACCCATGCTAGAATGCAGTGGCATGACACTGCTGCCTCCAACTCGCGGGCTCAAGTGATCCTCCTGCCTCAGTCTCCAAAGTAGCTGGGAGCACAGGTATATGCCACCATACCCTGCTAAATTTCTTTCTTTCTTTTTTTTTTGTTTTGTTTTGGTAATCTGGGTCTTGTTATGTTGCCCAAGTTTGTCTTGAACTCCTGGCCGTAAGCAGTACTTCTGCCTTGGCCTCCCAGAGTGCTGGGATTACAGGTGTTGAGCCACCATGCCTGGCTGATAGCTAAGATTTTTTAATCTAGATTTTTTTTTTTGTATCATTACTTATCACAGTAAAGATTATTTGTAGTAGGATTTCTTGCTTTTATACCTGGACCATGGGATTTATGTTGTCGTAATACGTTTTGTGGTAATTTATGCTAACAAGTTAGACCAAACTTGAAATGTCTAAGGGCTTCACATTTAAAAAATCTGAATTTTACTTAGAAACTATGGAGTATACCAGAAATGGTTTCTTTAAACCATGAAGAAACACTCTTTTTTTTTTTTTTATCTTTTATCTTTTTGTCTTTTAAGGGACAAAGAGATGAATTCTGTAGTATTTTGTTACTACTTTTAGCTGTCAATTTTCAGATGTACTTCTTTGGGTATTTTTCACTTTTTAAATTATGAAATCTGGGTCAGGCACGGGGCTCATGCCTGTAGTCCTAGCACTTTGGGAGGCTGAGGCAGGCCAATCACTTGAGGTCAGAAGTTTGAGACCAGTCTGGCCAACATGGTGAAACCCTGTCTCTACTAAAAAAAAGATAGAAAAAAAAATTAATCAGGTGTGTTGGTGGATGCCTGTAATCCCAGCTACTCAGGAGGCTGAGGCAGGAGAATCGTTTGAACCTGGGAGGCAGAGGTTGCAGTGAGCCAAGATCACACCACTGCACTCCAGCCTGGGTGACAGAGTAAGACTCCGTCTCAAATAGATAAATAATGAAATCTATCACACATACAGGGAAATATAAGTAATTGAATGAACACTCATGTAGCGTAGCAACTCAGCTTTAACAAATCTACATTTTGTCATGTGTTCAGAATTTTTTTTTTTTTTTTTTTTTTTGAGACGGAGTCTTGCTCTGTTACGCAGGCTGGAGTGCAGTGGTGCAGTTTTGGCTAGCTGCAACCTTTGCCTCTCAGGTTCAAGCAGTTCTCCTGCCTCAGCCTCCTGAGTAGCTGGGATTACAGGCGTGTGCCACCATGCCCAGCTAATTTTTTGTGTTTGTAGTAGAGACTGGGTTTCACCATGTTGGTCAGGCTGGTCTTGAACTCCTGAACTTGTGATCTGCCCACCTTGGCCTCTCAGAGTTCTGGGATTACAGGCATGAGCACCCCATTTGTTTTTTTTGTTGTTGTTGTTGCTTTGTGTTTTTTTTGAGATGGAGTTTCGCTGTTGTTACCCAGACTGGAGTGCAATGGCACGATCTTGGCTCACCACAACCTCTGCCTTCTGAGTTCCTGCCTCAGCCTCCCGAGTAGCTGGGACTACAGGCGCGCACCACCATGCCCAGCTAATTTTTGTATTTTTAGTAGAGACGGGGTTTCACCATGTTGACCAGGATGGTCTCGATCTCTTGACCTCATGATTCACCCACCTTGGCCTCCCAAAGTGCTGGGATTACAGGCTTGAGCCACCGCGCCTGGCAATTACCTGTTTTTTCCTAACCTCTGGCAACCACCACTCTCCTTAGTTTCTAAGAGTTTGACTACTTTAGATGCCTCATAAAAGTTGAATCATGACTGAGTGTAGTGGATCACACCTGTAATCCCAGCACTTTGGGAGGCTAAGATGGGTGTCTCACTTGAAGTCAGGAGTTTCAGACCAGCCTGGCCAACATGGTGAAACCCCACCTCTACTAAAAATACAAAACAAGCCAGGTGTGGTGCTCATCAGAAGGTTTGAGCAGAAGAAATACATGAGCTAACTTTTCCCTTCAAAAGGCACTGACTGTTGTGTCAAAAGGAGAGTGTAGGGGGCTAATGAAGAAGCGGGGAAGTAAGTTAGGATGCTGTTACATTAATGCAGATGAGAGACTGGTTATGGCTTGGATCAGAGAAGTGATGGTGAAGGTTGTGAGAGAGCCAGATTCAGGATAGATTTCTGAAGATTAAGTCAACAAAATATGCTGACACATTGTAAGTGAAAGTCCTCAACAATGCCAAACCCAAAGGACTCTAATTATGAGAATTTTAGAGATCATATGAAACTTTTTTTTTTTTTGAAATTTGGAAACAAATTTTATTTAAGATCTGAAATACAATTCCTAAAATATCAACTTGTCCAGAAAACCGTGGCTATCATGTTAGAACATGCATTAGACTCAGCTACAAAAACCATGAAACAAATCACCCTCCTTCAACAATTTGAGCAAAGATAGAATGCCTAAGAACAACATAGATGGACTTGCAGAGGATGGGCTGTTTTACTTCAAGCACCATAAAAAAAAAAAAAAAAGAGCACAAATGCATGGGTTTTCAGGTATATACATTAAGTTGAACCTTTGGCACTAGGAATCAGGGCGTTTTTTCACGTAGCATTAACACATATTAGAAAATTGTGTAGTGTCAAAGGGATGGGAACCACCAGCATTCAAGCAATGTTGTCAACTAGGCAATAAAATGTTCTACTGAATGTTTCTTCTTTGTTCTAATTACTGCATACACTGGTTGCAACTTTGAAATGAGAAAAGGAGCTTACACTCCTTTTATTTTCTGTTTAAAACAGAACAGAAAACAAACAAACATAAGCCCTGTGAAACATTAACGATTTTAAAGAACATCAGTTTTACAAGAAAAAGACTAAGAACAGAAAGTGTTTACAGATACAGAACAAAAATGGTGAGCTGTCTGTAGACGCTCACAGGGCTTTGCGTTGGTACTTAGCAGAAGCCACTTTGTAATCACTGGCAGTAAAGAGAGATGCAGAAATCTTTGCCAGATGTTTTAGGAAAGCATGCAAATAGCCTAACAATAACGCAAGGCTTTTCTCATCAAGGGGTGTATAGGCCAACATTGCTCCAATTCTTACAAATAATCTCAGTAGGTGTGGTGCTCCATAAACCTGGGACATTGGAACATCAGGGTGAGCCAAAAGGATTTCAGCATACTGGGGCCTCTCAAATTTGTACAGCAGCTGAGTGCCCAACATCACATTGAAATATTCTTTTATTCCTGCTACAACTTCATTAACTGCATATTCCTTTATTATCAACATTTCCCTGCGATTTCTTGCAATTTGCATACTCCTCCAGAATTGCATCTACATTTTTCTTAGCAGGGTGTTAGAACAGCTGCTTCTGCCTGGTAACTAAGTCCCAATCCTCAACAAGCCATGGTTTTAATTCTTCAGGAATCTTCACTTTAACTTCCATTCTATTCTTAAATGCCTCCTTGCTTTCAACAGTGGGGTCAGCCCGGGCCCTTTTCTTCCAAGGGGGCTGAGGTGCTTCACTGGTACTGCCACCGTCTCTGTTTCCAGGAGTCTTCTGTTTGTTCTTTCTGGTCTTCCTCACGGATCCTAAAGGGGGGTTCTCTGCAGAGTGACACCCCCATCTTCCTGGGAGAGCTGGTTCTAGATTTTTCTGCTGGGGACCAGCTGTCTTTCCTGAAGAGGCCCCTCTCATCTTACTTCTCTGCATGTTTCTTCTAGTTGGTTTTTTAAAGTTGTCTTCTTCTGCAGATTGTTGTCCACGAGGTTGATAACCCTGCTTTTTGGAACTCATTCAACCCTGTTTTTATTCCAACCATCAATCTTCCTTCTTTCCCTTCCAAGAACTCCTAGTGATTTCCCAGATGAAATAAATCTTATAATCTTCTGGGATGGTCTAGAAGGGTGAAGTGGGAGATACAACATGTGCCATGCACTGGCCTGGTACTTTACATGTAATCCTCTCAACAATCCCAAGATTCTGTAATCAGGGAAGGTTCTGCAATCAGGATCAGATCTCCTGATCCTTACTATACAGCAAATTTAGCTTTTCGGATAGTGACCTGAAACGAGAATTCAGATCTTCCCAGCAGCTGATGTGTGATCACTGCCATTCCTCCAACCGCCATAGTCTCATATGAAACTTCTAAGTTGCTTCTAAGAAAGCTTCTAAGTTGCCAAGCACACTGATGAATTGTGCCCATGTGTTTGAATTGTTAAATTATGAGAAGCATGCCTTGGACTTTGGGCTAATATTCTTTTTTTTTTTGAGATGAAGTTTTGCTCTTGTTGCCCAGGCTGGTATGCAGTGGCACGATCTTGGCTCACTACAACCTTTGCCTCCCAGGTTCAAGTGATTCTCCTGCCTCAGCCTCCTGAGTAGCTGGGATTACAGGCATGTACCACCATGCTCAGCTAATTTTGTATTTTAAGTAAAGATGGGGTTTCTCCATGTTGGACAGGCTGGTTTCGAACTCCTGACCTCAAGTGATCCAACCACGTTGGCTTCCCAAAGTGTTGGGATTACAGGCGTGAGCCATTGTGCCTGGCCATGGGCAAATATTCTTACCCTACATATTGAGTGAAATTTCATCTTATTTCCAACACCATTACATCCTCAGCAGTTTTTTGTGGTTCATAAATATTCTTTGTAACTTTTATTTCATATGTATCATTCTCTATTCTCAAGTGTCTTTATTTTTCTTCAAGGTAGAAGATGTTGTTAGCCCAAATAAATCGAGATTCTCAGGGAATGACAGAGTTTCCTGGAGGAGGGATGGAGGCTCAACATGTTACCCTGTGCTTGACAGAGGCAGTTACTGTGGCAGGTGAGCAATTGTGTTTGAAGGGATGGGTTTGGAAAGATCATTTATCTTAAGGGAAAATGAAAATTTATAACTTCCTAGTTCCTGATATAGCAGAAAACTATAAATTTAGGCCTTTCTGTGAGTATTTTTACCTTGGTGTGGGTACAGTAGGGCAGGGAATTTTTGTTTTTCTTTCTTTCTTTTTTTTTTGAGGCAAGGTCTCTCTTTGTCACCCAGGCTGGAATGCAGTACTACTATGATCATGGTTATCATGGCTTACTGCAACCTCACCCTCCTGGGCTTAAGAGATCCTCTCACTTCAGCCTTCTGAGTAGCTGAGACTACAGACATGCACCAATGTGCTCAGCTAATGATTTTATTTTTAGTAGAGATGGGGTTTCACCATGTTGCCCAGGCTGGTCTTGAACTCCTGGGCTCAAGCCATACACCTACCTCAGCCTCCCAAAGTGCTGGGATTACAGGCATGACCCATTGTTCCCAGCCTATTTTTTTGGTAAATACTAAATCTCATTTTGATTCTAAGTTAAGCAATCTACCTTTTGTCTGATCCTTATTTTTTAAAAAATTAATCGTCATGTCCATATGCTAGCTGTCTAAAGAAAATATTGATTTTTTTTTGTAATAGATGGTGACAACTTAGAAAATATGGAAGGTGTAAGCTTGCAAGCAGTAACACTTGCAGATGGTTCTACTGCTTACATACAACACAATGCTAAAGGTATGTGCCTCCCATATGGCTGATTGGTTAATACCAGTGATTTACAACTTCTGAGTTGGAGCACCTAGAAGCTATACCACCTTTCCTATCTCTCCTAAAGATGCTGCATTGCATATGATAATTTTAAGTCATTTCTGTTTAACTCACCTTTTTTTTTTTTTTTTTTTTTTAACAATTTGGGGTTGTCCTTTGAGATATTTGGAAGATACCCTGGAGTATCAAAATTAGTGGGAGAGAGGAGAGCAGGGAGTGTCTCTGACCTATTTTCTAGTAAGATCTTTCTTGCTTTTTTACTTCAGGTCATTATTTCATATTTTTACCAAATATGTATAAGAGTAAAGACATCTGGGGCTGGGCGTGGTGGCTCACGCCTGTAATGCCAACACTTTGGGAGGCTGAGGTGGGCGGATCACCTGAGGTCAGGAGTTCTAGACCAGCCTGACTAACATGGAGAAACCCCATCTCTACTGAAAATACAAAATTAGCTGGGCTTGGTAGTGCATGCCTGTAATCCCAGCTGCTTGGGAGGCTGAGACAGGGGAATCGCTTGAACCTGGGAGGCAGAGGTTGCGGTGAGCCCACATCGTGCAGTTGCACTCCAGTCTGGACAACAAGAATGAAACTCCATCTGAAAAGAAAAAAAAGGACATTTGGTTTTGCTTATATCCCATTGTCTCTGGTTAGTGTTTGCTTTGTTTCAGAAAACAGCCCAGTCCTCAAACTCTTTGTTTTTATGGAAACCTACTGAGCACATGTATACATAAACAAGGTTCTTAGAGCCCTCAGGGATGAGAATGACAACTGACCTCATGTACACTGAGGTACCTGTCTGTCTTCCCAGCTTCAGCTTCCCCCTTGTCAGGGTCACTGATCCCCTAAGTGACTCTGAAAGGTATATAGCAGTCCAACTCATGTAGCCCGCTGTGATGAGCCACTCTTCCTCTTGACCTCATCTAATTGAAAATTGCAGAGGAGGAAGGATGGCTGAGGGAGGATTTTCTGCTTTCTGTAGGATCACTGGATGTGTTATTGAATTGCCTCAGAACATTTGAGGGAAGAATCAAGATGAACACGAGCTTAAGTTGTGTATGTTTTTATAGTTGATATCATTTTGAAATTGTATCAAGTTTAAAATTTTTGTTTGTGCTAATTTATTGTCTTGAATCTTTTTTTCTAGATGGAAAACTCATAGATGGCCAGGTTATTCAGTTGGAAGATGGTTCTGCTGCCTATGTTCAACATGTACCCATACCTAAAAGTAGTAAGTATTTAAGACAACAGCACAGGAAACCCTTCTGATTCTCAGCATTTAGTAATTTGCTGCCTGCAGCTCCCTCTTACTACCTAAACTTGGTCTTGATCTCAAGTCATCCTTCTGTAAAGGGAGATTATAGATGCCACAAAGTGGATCTTAACCAAGACTTTCTCTTAAAGTTAATGGAAAAGAAGTTATTGGATGGACTGCATTGTGTAGATAAATAAGTAACAGTCCTAAGTGATTGCTTCTATTATTTGAGCTGAATCTTAGATATCTCTCATTTTCTTCATTTTTTCCCCTCTTTAAACTCTCTTTAACACTGGTATATATTCCTAAAACCAATATTTTAATGTCTTTTTACTTTTCAACACTGACTCAGAGAAGCTTTGCTGAATTTACTTAAATGTTCAAAGACTCATGAAGCAAGTATAGATTTTTTTTTGGAGACAGAGTTTCGCTCTTGTTACCCAGGCCGGAGTGCAATGGCGCAATCTTCACTCACCGCAACCTCTACCTTCTGGGTTCAGGCAATTCTCCTGCCTCAGCCTCCTGAGTAGCTGGGATTACAGGCACGTGCCACCATGCCCAGCTAATTTTTGTATTTTTAGTAGAGACGGGGTTTTACCATGTTGACCAGGATGGTTTGATCTCTTGACCTCCTGATCCACCTGCCTCAGCCTCCCAAAGTGCTGTGATTACAGGCTTGAGCCACCACGCCCAGCCGAGTATAGATTGTTATAATGTGGTTAATGGTTTATTGACTTGTTGTTGTGAGTTAATTGGAATGTGCTAGAAAACATGAGATCTAAATGTAAGCCTTGTTCTTGAGCAGGGGACAGTTTGCGTCTAGAGGATGGTCAAGCAGTGCAGTTAGAAGATGGTACCACAGCGTTTATTCATCATACCTCCAAAGGTAAAAGAACTTTGAAAGTATGAATAAAATAAGGGAGAAGTGGAACTCTGCGGGGAAAGAAGACCTACGTTTAGCTACTGAAGTGTTGTCATGGGAAAGAACTGTATTTGTTCATTGAAGTACAGATTTAAGCATGACAGATTTAAGCATTTTTTTTATTTTTATTTTTTGAGACGGAGTCTTGCTCTGTTGCCCAGGCTGGAATTCAGTGGCGCAATCTTGGCTCTCTGCAACCTCTGCCTCCTGGATTTAAACAGTTCTCTGTCTCAGCCTCCCGAGTAACTGGGATTACAAATGTGTGCCACCATGCCCGGCTAATTTTTTGTATTTTTAGAAGAGATTTAGTTTCACCATCTTGGCCAGGCTGGTCTTGAACTTCTGACCTCATGATCCACCCGTCTCGGCCTCCCACAGTGCTGGGATTACAGGCGTGAGCCACCGTGCCTGGCCCTCAAGCATGATTTAAGGAAAAATTTTCCTACAATTTGAGCTGTCCGGTGACAAGTTGTAACAACAAACCAAATGACTGGTCCCTGGAAGACTTAAAGTAGAGGCCACTTTTTTTTTTTTGGTTGGCTTTTGTTTTTTTTGAGACGGTGTTTTGCTGTTGTTACCCAGACTGGAGTGCAATGGCATGATCTCGGCTCACCGCAACCTCCGCCTTCTGGGTTCAAGCAATTCTCCTGCCTCAGCCTCCCGAGTAGCTGGGACTACAGGTGCACACCACCATGCCCAGCTAATTTTTGTATTTTTAGTAGAGACAGGATTTCACCTTGTTGACCAGGATGGTCTCGATCTCTTGACCTCATGATCCACTCACCTTGGCCTCCCAAAGTGCTGGGATTACAGGCTTGAGCCATCGTGCCCGGCTGGTTGGTTTTTGTTTTAAGAGACAGGATCTCACTCTGTTGCCAGGCTGGAGTGCTGTGGCACAATCACACCTCACTGCAGCCTCAGACTTTTGGGCTTAGGGATCTTCCCACCTCAGCCTACAGAATAACTGGGACAACAGGTGCACACTGTCATTCCCAGCTAATTTTTTCATTTTTTTGTAGAGACAGGGTCTCACTGTGTTGCTTGTGTAATCTCTTTAACTCCTGTCCTTCAACCAGCCTCCCAAAGTGCTGGGATTATAGGCATTAGCTACCACACCCAACCTTAATTTCATATTTTAAAAACAGTCTTGCTACTTTTTAAAAAGACTAACAAATAAAATCACAATGTAATATTGAAATGGTTAACTTCATATTTTACTTATTACTATATTTTAGAGATAGGATCTCACTCAGTCAGGCTACAGTGCAGTGGCACAATCATAGCTCACTGCAGCCTTGAATTTCTGGGCTCAAGAGACTCTCCTGCCTCAGCCGTCTGAGAAGCTAGGACTACATGTGTATGTCACCACAGCC